TAGGCAGGCCTAGTGTTTATTGTATTTTCGACAACATATATGCTTTAATTTTGGACACTAAAAACAACATAAACTGACACGCGAAATGTTGAACCCTAATGCTTTTAAGACTTATTGATGTTACTCCAGTTAGGCATCTGATTACAGATGAAAAGATTTGATAACACAATAGGAATGTCGCACAAAGAAAAATTTTGCTATGTAAAAAGATACCTTTTGCATACACGGCATTTTTGTGCAGCAGGTCCTTGTTTTTAATGAAAATTTACAGAAGAAAAAAAGAACTTCAAGAAACGATAAGTTACGTCAGTGTAAGCGTTTGTTTTTGTTTCGCAAATGGGCATTTGAATTCACTAGTAGCATTTCTGGGAAATTAAAAATACAAAAAGGGCAGGAAGGAAATAAGTGGAGCGAACTAGGTTAACAGCAGTAAAATTGCTAAAAAATCTTCTTTTCAAGCTGTTTTCTGCAATAATGATCCATTTTCAAAACAGACTTTTATTTCAAGAAAACTTTCTTTATGTGCAACTTGTCTAGTAAACTGTAGTTAAACAGAGAAGCAAAAAGACTTTTAGATATCCAACAAAACACTATACGTATAAGATTTACTTACTTTTTTGGAACTAAATCGCCAAGACCAACAGTGGTCAGGGAAACAAAGTTAAAATAAATTGAACCAAAAAAGTCCATTTCAGGTTCATATGTTGAAATTACCATTGATCCAACAAGAATGTACGCAAAAAATGCGATAAATAGTATTAATGCTTCGCCCCACGCTCCAACCTGTAAAACTTTCGGTCAGCGAAGAAGTAATGAGCAACTGGAACGGTATGCATATAAAACTTTTGAAAGTATCAGCCAAAACATTACTCTCGTCTAAAAGTAATAATTTTTTATTTATTCTTCGAAAAAATTTATGTAGAGCCTTTCCTGAGTGAATCGACAACAAGCCTAAACTACAAACCTCAGGTTCACCAGAAGTCTCGGCGTTTGATTTCTGGAATAAACTAATAATATTTATCATAAATACTAATAACAAGACATACGTCTATTAGTTTTAAATTTTTTTGTTTCACATACTTGCGGATTTTCTCACTACTTTTTTTTTTCAGTTTTTTCACCTCAATAACCTGGTATTTTTGGCCGTACCGCTAGCAGAGAACGATGTGAAAACATTTTATAGTATCTGTTTTTTTTTTAAATACGAGAAAAAAACCAGATAAAGATGATTAGAGCCTAAAAAAAAACAATAAAACATCTACCAAAATACTGTCATAAAAATTTTAGCCAAACACTATTTTAACAGTTTCAAGCAAAAATTTAAAACATCTAACATTAAACAAAAAAACCTCTCACTAAAGATCTGTAAGAATGTGCCTTTAAATTTTTTTTATCCACTTTTTGTTTTAGAAGGAAAAAATTACATTCATTATATACCTCTTCAACTTTGGCGCTTGACGGTGACACTAAAACTTCTTTCTCTTTTGACCGGCTTTCTGCTGCTTTTTTTCTGTTTCGATGTATTCGCCTAAAAAACAGCAACAAAAAAGAAATAAATTTATTTTTTTTATTTTTTTAGAAATGACCTGCAAAAAATTAAAAATTTGTTGATGTGATAAAAATCTTAAAACCAAAAGGAATGTGTATACGTCATTATTACAGTAATTTTCGGCATATTACAGTATTCTACGCCTGCAAAATTATGAATGAAAAATAATGCTTAAAAGTTTATAAAATAAAACACCTTAAACATTCCAGTAGTGGTCTTGTTGACTTTTTCAATAATTCGGCTAAAAATTTTCCTAAATTTGCAATTGCTAACATTGTGAAAGGTATACCAATAAGACCATAAATAATTACAAAAAGACGTCCTTGTATTGTTTGCGGTGCTACGTTACCGTAACCTAAAATTGAAAAAAATCCAAAAAAATATTTTTTCAAATCTGACATCAATAAATTCCACTTTCATTTCTTTTCTTATCAAATAAAACCTAAATTCTTTTTAAATTATTATTGATAAGCTATAATGTTATATTTACAAGTTATATACAACACTTCTTTAAGTGTACAATTCAAATAACCGGAAGTTTTTGCTTATGCTATTATATCATGACTACTAATAAATTTGCTACAAATCTGCAGCACTATAGCCTTTTGCTACAAATCTGCAGCACTATAGCCTTTTTGCTTCTACTGCTGTCATCAAAGTAAACATTCTAACTGCTGCTATTTTAACTGAATATGTTCACTTTTACTGTGAGCAGTAACGTTTCTTAGTGTACTAGAAAACTTTTTTCTTTATTTTGCTGTTTTGTTGTTTTCTTTTATAAAAATTTTAAATTGTCTTAAAATTTCACTGAATTGTAACTGTTAAAATAATCTAAAGTTATAAGATGAAAATTTCATGCACTCATATACCATGTAACGCTAAATGAAGTAATAACGGTAAGCTAAAGCTAACCAATTGTTGTAATAACAGTAAAACAAAACAATATTGCATCCATCGATGACCATTCTAACCATTCCGTTTCACCGACTTCATCTGCTTGTTTCTTTGTCTGTGAAGTATCTGCAAAAAAAAAAAAAATTTTTTTTTTAAAACACTAAAAAGAAGCAAAAAAGTTGGACGAAGTAGTTTTTTCTTTCAAAAATTTAGGAGAAAAAAAGTTTAAAACAACAGAAACATCAAAGTTTGGAAAATTCAGCGAAAAACAATTCAAGCAATATATGCATCAAAAACTTGAGTATAAAAATTTTACATCATCGTGCTAAATATCTGCTAAAAACCGACTTTTTACAGCAAGAGAAAAAAAAAAGGCATAAAAGAAGTAAAAATATTTTGTGTTAAAATATTCTTTTATAAGCAATAAAGAGATACAGTGGATACCTCTTTTCCGCCTCGTTTTCCAGTAATATTTACTTCTTTCAGCATGTTTATAACATTCATCGATAAGGTTAACAATACCATCTGCAGTCGTATTTTCAATTTCTTTTGTAGCATTCAAAATTTGCAAAACGGATACGACGCATTTCCGTTTAAGTAATTCTGAAAAAAAAAAAACAAAGAAAATAATAATAATAATAATAATAATAATAATAATAATAAATAATAATAATAATAATAATAATAATAATAATAATAAATAATAATAATAATAATAATAATAATAATAATAATAATAAGACAAAAAACAATAACATTTAAAATATGCAAACAAAACAGTTGTTAGATTTGGAAACGGAAAAATTTATCAACCGATTTGTTTTCTCTAATTTTATTTTTTCTCTTTGGTCATTTTTTTTCTTAAAAAAAAAAGTCAAGCTTTTATGCTCTTTTTTTTTGCCGCAGACTTTGAAAGTAAAGCAATTTTAGGTAAAACAAACACACACACATTAAAAAAAAACAAAAAACAAAACAAAACAAAACAAAACTAGTAAGAACAATCAAAAAAAAAAATATATATATATATATATATATCCTATCAACAAAAAATAAAAATGAGAAACAAAAACCAACAACGATTTAAAATGCATATTAAAAGAATTCTTAACCGCAAAGCTTCAGATACTAAAGAAGAAAAAAAAACCTCTGAATTTTATTCGTTGAAATTTGTGCTTCGCAAAAAAAACTTTAGTTTCTCCTACCTTTTGTTTTTTTAAAAAGAGATATTTTTCAAACAAAATCTTTTAGATTTTCCTCTGTAATTTTTCCTTTCTTTTTGTTCCGCTTTTCCATCTTTTCTATTCTTTCGGTTATCCCCGACAAATTTCCCTTGTTTTTTTTGTTTTTTTGTGGTTTTACCCATATCCTTGTTTCTTTGTTTCCGAAATTATTCTTTCAAACATAATTGTATGCTCAGTGGAATAAAATTTATCGATTTGTCGAATGTAACAAAACTATTTTTCTGTTGGATACAACAAATCTATTCTTAGCACAAATATACCGACAACTACAAAGCGCATAATCCACTAAGCAATCAATCTTTTCGGAAGCGCTTAACTGATATTATTATCAAAGACAACAGTATTGGCTAAAAATTAATTCAACATTTTTGGTCAATTTTTATCTGATCAAATTTGTCTAATAAATAATCTGAACAAAATTTGATACAACCTTAAAGCATTTATATACGACATTTTACTACAGCTGTAAATCAGCTGACAATAAATAAAGTTGCCCAAGAACATTCATCTTTTCTTCTTATTTATTGCCTTCTTTCAAATTTTTTCTATCTTTATTCTCTTCAACTAACTATTTATACTATATAACCATCGACAAATTGCTGGGTTTTTTTTTTTTTGACATTTATACTTAAACAGAAAAAAAAATTATTTGTTTATGTTAACTGTTTCTTTCTTTCTTCTATTTTTTATCTGTTCAACTGCTTTCTTCTGGTTTGTTGAAATATTGTTGACCGTGGTATTTGGTTAACCAACATACACTTATGGAAAGTATAATTTACAGAAACTCTTTTGTTCACTCTAGAAAACAAGTGGTAAAATTACTGATCCAATTTTGCACACAATTAAAAAGAAAAAAATTTGCATAAATTTAAATAACTTAATATAACAGCTTTACAGTAATCTTTATGAAAAAGGTTCCAAAAGAGATTGAATAATATAAATAGCAAAAGAATTGCTTTTTACGCTAAATACATTATTCTAATGTAAAACTTATAAGCAAAAACAAAACCAAGAGAATAAATAAATGAGTATTGTCTCTGAAAAAGAAACACCTTTAATTGTCTCTATAACCGCTGTTTTTGTTTCTAAAATTATCAAAGTATATTGCGGTTAATTGAGTGAAATTTTTTGATGGCATAAATTGGTACCAAAGTTTAGAACAAATAATCAAATTTTTTTTTTCTGTAATGACACATATTTAGACGCTATAAAAAAGCAATAAAAGCTTACTTTCATCGTCATCAATCGTGACGACACTGGCATTTCTATAAGGTTGACTGGTTTCATCGCTTACCTAAATCATAAAAAATTTTTATTGGAGTGACACTGTTTTTAAAAATCCTTTTTTTTTCCTCTTTTTTTTTTTCTCTCAGTCAACATATGATCAAACCTGTGCTGTTGATATCGCCATTTTGCACAATTATGTTCACTTCTGAGGTTTATTTTTTTTTTTGTGATAAACCAACAAACAGTGGTGAATAAATAAATAGCTAAACAAAAGAATCAAAAAAAAAAAAAAAAAAA